GCCATGCCCCATCCTAGGTAAGGATCCAGGGAATGTCAGTCCATCCTGAACACAGAGCTGCCTGTTGGCACTGTAACTCGGAGGGGGATGTTTTGCTGGAGGACTAACATAACATAAATAAAGTTATTTCCACTGAGGTGTTCGTATCTCAGGCCTGCTCCTTGTAATATGACATCATGTTATGATCTAGAACAGAAATCCACGGGTATAGGGTCCAGAACTAGTAAAGCCAAAATTAAAATTGGGATCTTTACACTAAAGTCAGAGAAACAGTGAGTTTAAGTCCCTCAGTTGCAGAGTTTGAGGGACAGGGGCCTGTTCTTGCTAAAATAAGACTTACAATTAAATTCCCAGCATCACAAATCCCTCTGTGCTCTAAAAGGAATGGCAAATGGGTGAACAAAGGGAATTCTGGACTTGTCTGCCCCAGCCTGGGTGTGACAGCCCAGCCTCAGTCTGGCAGCTCTGAAATGTTGATGTTAAAACACCTGACGCTTCCAGAAAGGAACTGGCAAAGCCAAGAGGATGATTCTCATTCTGCACTACAAAATGAAACCCTTGACCATGGATAGCAGATGTGGAAAAAGATCAGCTTGAAGACAGTGCTGAACAGTAACCAGGCATATTCAGTGCTATGCCTTTGGGGTGCAGGAGGATGTGTGTCAGTGCTACTTGGCAGCTGGCACACAATGCACTATTTCTTAAATACTTGCTTATTTTCAGCCATTTAGTGGCTCATCTACCTGTGCAATAACTTGGTTTTATTTTCAAACTGTCACCTGCAGGTTATTATGCCTATGAGTGGAAAAGCTATTTAACACAACAGAGCCATCCAGTGACAAGTATGTTTTTCGACACAGCGGACAAAGAGCCATTCTGCAGTAAGTGACTGAGATTTCTGAGATTATTTTTCTTTGTGCACTGCCTCTATCAGCAGCAGCCAAGCAGAGATAGTTATTTGCTGGTGGTGTTATAGCCAGCATTTTAGAAACTCCAGTTGCTGCTGGATGGAATTGTGTCCATCTGTGGTTTGCCATAACCTTCTTTATCTGCCAACCTGTCCAGTGCTGGGAAAGCCAACTTGCTTACAGTTCTAGAAAATTGGCTGAGAACTTTCAAATTAAGTATAAAAGTTCCCAAATCATGTTTCAAAGCAACACACCATTCTTTTGTGAAAGAAAGAGGTATGTGGGAATGATAAGAGAGAAAGACAGGCTGTACAGGTGAAAAGGCTACCCTGGAAAAAAGAGAGAGGCACAGGGAGACGAAGAGAATCTGTGGAAAAAAAGGTTGCACCAAGGTAAAAAGTTTCACCTCATCCCTGTGACTACCAACATACCAGGGCATGGGCTGGGATTATGGCCTGAGCTCCAATGCTGGTCAGCAAGTGAATGCACACTCACAGAACAAAGAACAGAAAATTCTGCTCCGTGACAGAGATGACAGATACAAAGAACAGAAATGGCGGGGTTCAGAGGGGGACTGAAGAAAGAAATACAGTCTGGAAGTGAAGGGGGAAGGCAGGCAGTGTGCTGGGAACCATACAGAGAGGCCATCCTGCACAGACAGCCCTTGCTGCAGTGCTCTCCTGACACCTCCTAGTGTTTCTGGTGAAATCTCTGCAAAGGGAGATGGAGAGCAGGGAGGACAGAGGGATTTTCGAGATAAACTGCAGGGGCTGTGTCCATCTTCTACTCACAGCTCTGCTCCCAGACAGTGCACAGCCTGGACAGCAGACTGAGTCCACAGAGTCTAACCCCACTCACTCTCTCCCCTCAGTCTATCACTACTTGGTGGACGTTATCACATGGAACAAAGACACCAGGAGAGGCACCTTCAGCATCGTGCTAGCTGATGAAGATGGGAGGAAGGCAGAATCAAAAGTTAATCCGTAAGTCTTACTGGTCTGAGCTTTTTGAAGTGTTAGTGCATCCCTTGGTACAACTGCATCTGGGAGGAGGTGACACATCCTCCCCCAGTTTCTCTGCTGATACTTGCTAGTGCACATGGGATTTCCTGGCCCTATGGGATTTATTGGCCCCAAGAGATTTCCACAGCCTCCCCCAGCACACAGCCCTGACAGCCCAGCCTTTTGGGTTTGGGCCCTTCTCTGTCATTTTAAGGACTGAAGTGGACAATCTCAGCCAGCATGCCCTAGGCTTCCACTAAAGCAGAAGGAAAAACATCTCCCCCTCTTTCCTTCCTCTTACAGGGAGTGTTCTGTTCTAGTTCCCAGTGCCCAAGACAGCTGGGGATTAACCTGGGCCTGAATATGTCACATTCAAAATCAATTCATTCCACTCAGAGAGACAAATTAATGGTGTTTATGTGACATGCAAATTCCTGATTGATCTGAACTACACTTCAGCCAAACCTGCACAACTAGTTTTCCCAAGTTTCTCTAAGTGCATATTCCCTCAGGCATATCTGGTATCTGCCTGCACTGGAGCAATCAGCATGGATCCCACACCGAGGCCAGGACAGATTTCATGCATATCTCGAAGTGACTCAGTGTTCAGGCCTGCACAGACAGCCAGGTACAAATATCACGTGGATCTAGTCCACTTGGGATCAAAGCAGAATCACAGTGAAAATTCTGGGCCAAATGGCATCCAGCCTCTGTTTCCCCACTTCTACCTCAAAAAACTGAGGGCAGAAGTGGCTGAGCAGGTTGACACCTGAATCCACACCCATTTCCTGTAAATCAGAAACTAATCAGAAGATCAGGCCTCCTCCCCCAGCCTGTTCCTAATATTACAGTGACTACATTAAACCCAGTGCTATTCCCTTGGTGACTGACACTCTCTCTTGTCTGCTTTACCTTTAGAGAAGCTGCCACCTTCCAGCAGTACAAACAAATCACTTTGCTCATTGGGTTTGACCAGGATCTTGAAAATGTGGAAAGAATTTCCTTGACATTTTCCACGGGATCTGTAATTGGCCCAAAATTCAAACTCAGGATTCTCCAAATGAGGTTCCACTCACTGACAAACCCAGAAAGGTGAGCAGATGTTTACAAACAAACCATTTCTGTTGGTGCAGACTGGACAGAAGTAAAGGAATCTCCCAGATTCCTGGCCTGGCTGAGTATGTGCAGAAGAATTAGATTTATTTTACATTTAGTAATTCACATACACCAATCTTGGGAATGAATTCCTCTTTAATGGAATCCCACAGCTGAATAGTTACTTGAACACAGAGACTGTCTTATTGCACTGGGAACATGTCACATGTGATGTGACTCTGACGTGGCCTGACACCTTAACCTTTGGTCAGGAAAATTACCTTTGGGAAGCTGCCCAGGCCTGAACCCCAGGATGGAGGGAAATACAGCCCTCTGGGAAGAACAGATGTTCAGCCCCAAATATACATTTTATATCCCAGTCAATTTGTATGGCTAGTGAAGCAGGGAGATTAATTCACTCCTGGAACTCCAGCAAGTGGGAGCTGCTGGCTGCTTTGCCCCAAAGCCCTGGCTGGTACCCACAACATCAGGGGGTACCTCTCAAGACATTGCTGATGAGATTTCTATCACCTCATTAGCCTCTGTCTGCTCTGCTGTCCTACCCTGAAGCTTCCCACCTCTGGAGGCTGGGAGCTCTGCCTGAGCTCAGCAAGCACAGAATCTCTTGTGCTGACTTGTGTGCAAGGACACTGTGGACACCACACCGTGCTCTGAGTTTGGCTTAAAGCAGGGCTGGAAGATCACAGGGTCAGGAGGGTGAAGCAAACAGATATATAGAGCTGCAGAAGATGTTTCTTTGCTTTTCCTGAGGTCTGCTACCCTTATCCTAGCCTTGGAACAAGGAAAAGATTGTGGATATCTACTAAACAAGGTCCTGCAGCTCTCCCTTGCTGCCACTCCCTGTCTCCTGTCCCACACCTCCACAGTCACTTCCAGTCCCAGATACACATTTAGTCTTTTAAAGAGCAGACACAAATGCCCTAATATTTAATCACAGGATGCTGTCTCTCCCCGAGGAGGGGCTGCCACAGGCCATAAACACAGTTCAGGACTTTCAGCACATCATCTTATCAGTCACTGCCACAAGGAAGGATGTCCTGCCCTCTCCCCTTCCCTGTTGCTCAACCCACTACACAGGGCTAATGTTCATATTTCCCCAGTGAAAGCCCAAGTACTTCCTCAGTTATTTTGGCTGAAGTAGCTCCAGGCCAGATCTGTGTTTGGACCCAGGTCAGAGCAGTGGCAGAATTTCTCACACCTGGAGCAGGGAAGGGGCAGGAACAGGCAGGTGGGCTGGAAGGACCACCTTGTTTGGTGGACACAGGTGTGCACTGGCTTAAAGGGAACCACAGGCTCTGCAGCCAGGGCCTGTTTGTTTGCTGGATTTTTTGTGATCCTTTTTTTTTCCACAAGTAAAAGATAACATAGAACAGAATGGTAAAATGCTCAAGGTATCCCTGGCTTAAAGCCAACCTCACTTCAGGTGGACTTGGAGCCAGTTCTCTTGAGAAGATGACTTATTTTATGTAGGCCTGCAGCAGGTGGGGAGATGACAGAAAAAAGCGCTATTTTTTTTTTCACTTTTGGCCATGTTTTCACACAGACCCCAGCTGTGCCGGTACGACCTGGTCCTGACTGAGAACACCCAGAAAACCTTCAAGCCCATCCCATGCTGAAGCAGGAGCCGGGTCCCGAGGATGCCGTGCCCGGACGGGGCAGAGACATTTCCCCGCCGTGTGGGACTCACCTGCTGGGCCCCGGGCGCCTTCTGTGGGGAGCGAGCCGCGGGACCCGCTCTCCACGCAGTGTATAAACGGGCTAGGGGAGCGACAATAAAACCATGGCGGCACACGGCTTTAAAGCGTGGTTTTAAAAGAGGGGTTCAAAGCATGTGTCCGCGGCTGAGCCTGCAAGGAGCCCCCAGGAGCAGCAGGTGCCAGCAAGTCACACTAACACCCCGCAGCCCCCTCACACCCACGGCCGCCTGGCCCCGCCCCTTACAGAGGCCCCGCCCCGCGCCTGCGCACCCGCTCGGCGCGCTGAGGGCGGCAGGGCCGGGCCGGGAGGGGTCGGGTTCGCTGGGCTCGGCTCCGTCCGGCGGCGGCAGCGGCGGCCGCGACCCGGGATGTGGCGGCGCCCGGCTGGGCTCCTGCTCGTCTTCTCGGCCGCCACGGCCGCGCTGTGGCTGCTGTCGGTGCGGCTGAGCGCGGGGCAGACGCGCAGGTGGGTGTGGGCGGCCGGCGCTGCCCGTGCGTCCCTCCCTTCCCCCGGGGCTGCCCGAGCGTCTCTCCCCTCGCAGGGCGCTGCGGTTCCCGGCGGACCTGGAGGAGCTGCGGGATCTGGCCGAGGCGCTGCGGGACTACGAGCGACAGCACCGGGGCGCGGCGCTGGCCCTGTTCTGCGGCGCGTACCTGTACAAGCAGAGTTTCGCCATTCCCGGCTCCAGCCTCCTGGTACGGGGAGGGCGGCGCGGGGCGAGGGGCCGGGGACGCACGGATCGGGCAGGAGGAGCCGGAGGGACCGACGGGTCGGGGTTGATGTGCTGGAGAGCAGCTCTGCTGGGAAGGCTCGGGGAGTGTTGGTGGATAATGCGCCCTGAGGGCCAGGAAGGTCAGTGGGTCCTGGAGTGCCCCGGGCACAGCGTTGCCAGCAGGTCAGGGAGTGACCCTGCCCCTCTGCTCAGCCCTGTGAGGCACAGCTGGAGTGCCAGGTCCAGATCTGGGCTCCCCAGGAAAAGAGAGACGAGGTGGAGAAGGTCCAGCAGAGGCCACAGAGAGGTGTAGCTGGAGCATCTCTCTGATGAGAGATGGTTAGTCTGGAGAATACTGAGAGCGGATCTCATTAATGCATATAAATAGCTCCAAGGGATGTCAGAGGACGGTGCCAGACTCTGTTCAGTGGTGCCCCGCAATAGGACAAGGAGCAATGGCCATAAACTAAAACAAGAAGTTTCACCTCAATGAGGAAGAACTTCTTTCTATGGAGGGTGGGAGAGCACTGTGAACAGCTGTCCAAGGGAGGGCAAAGTCTTCTCTGGAGGCATCCCAAACCCACCTGTTCCTGTCACCTGCTCTTGGTGACCCTGCTTTGGCAGGGCATTTGGACTGGATAATTTCCAGAGGCCCTTTCCAACCCTAACAATTCTGTGGTTCTCTGACACACCGTGTCCCCCAGGTCTCACTCCATCTTGTCCCCACAGAATGTCCTGGCTGGAGCACTCTTTGGGCCATGGATGGGGCTGGTTCTGTGCTCAGTGCTCACGTCTGTGGGAGCCACCCTCTGCTACCTGCTCTCTGCAGCTTTTGGCAAGCAGCTCATAGTCCACTTCTTCCCTGAGAAGGTGGCTCTGCTGCAAGGGAAGGTAAGAGCTGGCGGTTCTGCTGACACACGCGATGGCCCTGGGCCAGGCTGCTCTTGGGGTGACAGTGAAAACCAGTCTGTGCAGGGGATGCATCAGGCCTGCTGAGGGCATGGTCTAGGAGCAGGCTGCTCTCTTGGAGCAAACCTGTTGGCCGAGGGGCTGCCAGGAAAATCCTAGATCCTAAGGAAAACCAGATATGAAATAAAGGACGGTTTGGAAACTTCTGTGCTCCAGAACTGCCTCCATCCATCCCATGCTGTGTTGTACACTGGAGGTGGTTCTGCTCTTGACTTCTGATCTTTCGTTCCGGTGTGATCCCCTTTCCGCCCCTTCTTTGAAGAGGGCTGGCTCACCATTAGGCTCCCATACAGACATACACAGGATTGCTGCTTTCCCTCAGTTCTGAACTGATGGTACACTGTGGCTTGTTAGAAGAAAAATTCACTCCAGTATTATGGCCATTTGAATGTTACTGCTGTTTGAGGAGCAGGAATGATATGGAACGTTTCTTTTGGCAGGTAGAAGAGAACAGGAGCTGCTTATTTTTCTTCTTGTTGTTCCTGAGGCTGTTCCCCATGACACCAAACTGGTTCCTGAACCTCTCAGCTCCCATTTTAAACATCCCCATGTCCCAGTTCTTTCTCTCCGTTCTCATTGGTAAGGCCTGGGAACACGGCCTGAGGGGACAGTGTGACACTGCTGCTCTTGGTATCACTGAGCCAGGGAGGGCAGAGTTGGGACTCTGACCCTTGGTTTGTTTCCTCTCTGCTGCCCTTGAGCATTCTGGAGGTGTCCCCAGTGCTGCAAATTTTGCTTTACACCTCGTTCTTTCTGTTACAAGCACAAACCCCAGTGTCTGTGTAATGGCTGTAAATTAAAACACTGAGTTCCACCTCAGCATAAGAAAGAACTTTCCCTGGAGGGTGGCAGAGCACTGTGTCTGGCTTTGGGCATATTTAGCTAATTCTCTCTAGGGGGGAACTAACAGCTTTTTTCTGCTCTGATTCCTTCAGGCCTTACACCATATAATTTCATCTGTGTGCAGACAGGGGCCATTCTGTCCCAAATCACCTCTTTGGATGCCATCTTCTCCTGGGACACGCTGCTCAAGCTGCTGGCCATGGCTGTGGTAGCGCTGATTCCAGGGACTCTCATCAAGAGATACAGCAAGAAACACCTGAAGCTGGATGGTGACAAGCAAGCTCAGACACTAAATGGCAGAAAGAGCTTGTGATTGCTTAGGTGCCCCAGTTTTGGGGTAAAAGCTGCAGGACTCTCTTCCCAGGGGTTATATTCTGCATGCTCTGTGCCACTAAGGACAGTGGCAATTTTTAATCATCCTTCTCATCTCAGAGGAGGTGTCTGTTCTTATTTTTAATGAATGTTTATCTGTGCATGTATCTGCACAGAGAGAGATACAGGGGCTTTGTGAACACTCAGTTAATTTGCCTGTTTCATTTAAATCAGTCTCCTGTGTGCCTGAGGCCGTGGGGAATAAAAAGAGTATTGGCATCCTGTGAGGAAGGCAAACCAGAACCCAGCTGTGGATCACTGGCCAAGCACAAGCCTGCAGGCAGTAGGCAGGCCCTGCTCCCTCCAACTGCAGACAGATTTAGCATTTTTGGCCTGAAATGATGAGCCATGTGCTCCTGTGCTCCAGTGCAGCTGTACAAGCACCAAGTTGAGAAAATAATGGTGTTTCATGGGCAGCTGTAGAAGATTCTTCTTTGATTCCCATGTTAAACCAGCACACTCTGCAGCAAAATGCTCAGGATTTGAGCTATGTGACTCAGTCATGTCAAACACTTGAGACAGCTTCTCTGGTCTGCCAGTGGCTGCTACTCCCCAGAGAGAATAAAGGGGAAAAGAACAGGAATGGATGTGCCTGACTGGCAGGGATTTGTCCTTCAAAAGCACCTTGAAACCCACACATTTGCTCCTGTGTATTTCCAAATAAAGAGGTGGGCTCTGTCCCAGCTGTGAAGAACATAGGATCCCAGAATGGTTTGGGTTGGAAGGGATCCTAAAGTCCATCCTGTTTCACCCCCTGTCATGGGCAGGGACACTTCCACTATCCCAGGTTGCTCTAAGCCCCATCCAACCTGGCATGGGACATTCCAGGGATCCAGGGGCAGCCACAGCTTCTCTGGGCAACCTGTGCCAGGGCCTCACCACCCTCCTCCCCCCAGGATGATACTCTGCTCTTGGGGTTTTGGTATTTGCTCTCCATGAGATCCACTTGGAGAATAAAGTAACATTCCTGGTATGGAAGGGGGCAGATGGGAGACCCCAGAGCAAGGCTTCATGACATCATCCCAAAGTCCATGAGAACCCATTCCCAGATCACCAGACCAGCCTGCAGCATTGAAGTACACTGGCTTTTTATTCCATGCATTGTTTGCTTTGATAGTCATTCTTGTTTCCATCACTGTACACTGGTCAATACAAAAAAAAATCAAGTTTGTCTCAGGAATCCACAGAGCAGGGAGGAGGGGATGAACACTACTGGACAGGGCCAAGATGAAATGGGTACTTAACACGACAGTGGGGAGGGCAACATTCAGCTCTGGGAGAAAATCTAGGCTAGTGTTCAGGAGCTGTCAGCAGCCACAAGAACTGGATCAGGGTGCTCGGGATGCTGGAAAGGAAACCCACAGTTTACTCCGGCCCTGGAATGCAGTATTACTACAAGGAGTAAGCAGGCTCACCTACACCTCTCAAGCCCAGACCCTGCCAGGAGAGGAAGTGCAAGGAACTTGCAGAGGTGCCCATACAGCGATGTGGGGGCTGTGTCTGTGCAATCCCAGGGAGGTGTCACTAAGGAAAATCCTACATAACCCCCCCAGAACTGACAGCAACCATCCCGGGAATGTGGGGGTGCTGAGCCAGCTCTGCCCACACACAGCGAGGCCATGGGACATGTGTGCAGGGGAGGTTGGGGTGACACCTCTATGGGCAGGGCAAGGGGCTGCCCTAGTGGCATTCCCAGAGGGGTGCAGGGTCAGGAGCAGCGACACTGGACTGGAACACTGGACTGGAGCAATGACCCGGGGGTGTGAGAATAGACCTAAATGTGGCTGGCTGGAGGGGGCAGCTCTGCTTGCCCAGGCTGCAGAACAGGCCAGCATGTCCCCAGGCAAGGATGGGGAGGGATCAGCAGCATCCAGGACAGCTGGCCCAGAAGGGTCTCAAAATCCCAAACACCAAAGCTCTGCAAGCCCAGTGGGGCTTCAACCCATGGTGGAGCCTACGAAGAGAACACAGGTACCCAAATCCCTCTGGAATCTGTCAGGGACTGGATCACCACAGGCCAGAGGCCCTGGGGACAGTGACAGGCCTGAGCTGGAGGCAGCTCTGCTTTGGGGCTGTTTGTGGGACTGCCCAAGGATACCAGTGCTGCCCATGGGTCTCCCAGAGCCTGCCAGGTCTGAGCAGAGTCTATCCAGGGGCACAGGGCTTGGCATCCTCTGATGGGGACACCTGATGGCAGTTCTCCACCTCTCTTTACACCACAAGGTGTTATGTGCACACAGTTCTCCACTGCTAAATTCCCGCACCTTGGCTTCCAGGCTCCTGAGTAACCATCTGCACCACCAAACCCCCTCTCACACCACAACAGCAAAGCCATCTCTGGCCCTGCCAGCTCCTCCTGCCACTGGCCAAGAGACAACATTGGGGAGGAGAAACAGAGGGTGGGAAGAGAGAGGAAACGAGCCAGGAAAGAGCTTCACTCCTCACATGGTTCTGCCTCTGCCCAGAGCAGGGTGAGCAGGTCACTCCCTCTCCAGGAACCTGTTTGGTCCTGCTCAGGTAATCCACTACATGGACCCACTGCCCAGGGCAACTGCCCTCTTCCCTGACGTTGTTTTTGAGGCTCTGGCCAGGGAACTCTTGTCACAATTATTCATTTTGTGATCCATTCAAAAGCCCCTCACTCCCTGACCACCCTTCCCACATTCCCACCAGTTCAGTGGCTGCCAACCATCAGCAATGTGAGCAAACTGCAGCTCTGCCCACGAGGAACCTGACTGCAGCCATCCACCTCTCTGTTCTCTGCCCTGGAGTAACAGCATCCCTGGAAATCACGAGAGGCAGCAACTGCTGACAGCCACTGAGCCCAGCTCTGCTCCCACCCCTCTGGCGAGCAGGGAGAAGGTAACGTCACACACAGAGATTACAATTGTGCTAGCGGTGAAGCCAACCTTCTGATCTACAGAAATGATAATAAATAATAAAATAACATCATAACTTAAGATCTGTCTGTAGTCCAGCTACAAAAATTTAAAAATATGGGATAATTTAACTCATACAATACTGCTCTCTGTATAAGTAAGACATTTTCCTTCACTTTGCCATGAGGCTATAAATTACCACAGTTAAGTTCAAACCAATATTTTAACATAAAATGTAAACAAACAAAGCAACAGAAGTACCTGTCCATGGTCCATTCCTGCCGTTCACCTCTGGCTGGCCGTGCCAGCCAGCACACTGGGAAGGGCAGAGGGAGAGCTCTTGCAGGGGGACATCAACTAAGGAAGGGGGGGGAACGTGCTCTATCATTTTGTTCTCTTTCAATATTGTTTTAGAAGAGTAGTGTTTGAAGGGAAGGCACTATGAGTTCTATCAGAAAACAAATTTTTCTCATCTGCCAATGCCTCGGCCTGTCACATACCAGTACTATCCTCACTTGCACCTGCAGAGTTTCAGCATGGAGGAGAAACAGAGGCCTCGGGGCACACCCAAGACACAGCGGTGCCGCGGCCATGTCAGGATTCCCTGCACGAGGCCTGCCATGAAGGGCAGGCAGCTGCTAATGCTTCCAAGAACGTACAGTGAATAAGGAGACAGGGCAGGGCTGATGCTCTTAGCCAGGCCAGCGATTCCCAGTCTTCCCCCTCAACACACAGCCCTCTGCTGGTTCTTGATGCTGCTGTAGGTGAGAGGCTGCTTCTCCCAGTCCACTCCAGGCGTCTCCAGCGTCCTCCCCAGAAGTGCTCGGGCTCTGCGGAATGTGCTTTCCGTGCTTTGCAAGTCCTTGCTTGGCCAACACTGAGTTGATTGATTTATTTGACTGACTGAAACAGACAGGAGGTAAGAGGAGGAGATAAACTGGGAAATGGCACACTGCATCTGAGAGAGGTTTCCCTGCTCAGCTGGAGGTTGACACTCCCAGAGTGAAACAAGGACGGTGGTAAGAAGTGCTCTGATACCAGTTCTCAAGAGGACGAGGTTAGAATATATTTGCAGGATCTCACAACAAAATGCTGATTAAAAAAAGAAACTAAAAATCCTTAAAATAAAACCCATCATTACATTCCTGGGGATGTATCAACTCAGAAGACCCTGGTTGTTAGCACCTCAGTACCAGTTTTCTCCAGGAACATGTCCACCTTCTGATTAAAAATGACCCAGCTGGTTATACTGAAAACACTTTGTTCACAGGTGACCCTACAGTCAGGTCTTTTTCTGCTTTTCCTCATCTGATAAGACTGAGTGGTTTAGTTTTCTTGATCTGTTCTCCAATCTTCAGGGCCATGAGGCCTGGTCCCCTGTGCAAGCAGCAAGAGAATCCCCCGCGTCTGTACACAAAGCTGTCCAGGCAGGACTCCCAGGATGTTTCTCCATAGTGTGCTTGCTTTCTGAACGTTTTTTTTTTTTTTGCAACAAGTCTGTGTGTCTATAAATACAATCCACTCTTTACAGTAAAAAGTGTTAAAATGTCAAAAAAATAAATATCCATGTTACAGTAACTAGATTATTCAATAAAATACATCCCTGCCATTCTTGATTGAAATGCTCAAAGAGAATTAATTTCATTTGGACATTTTCCAGAGATTCGGGTTATTGCAAATCACTCCTGGGGTGGGAAGGAGAAGCATCTTCTCTTCCTGTAAAGTGTGATGAAGGGGAATGACGTGGAATCTCAGGGAAATCAAAATGCCAGTACCAGGAAGCTTTGGGGGAGATCTGTATTACCAAGTAGCAGAGCTGCAGGGCTTATTGGTCCTGACTGTGGCATCGGAACACTCCCCTTCAGAAGAGTCACAGTCTGATTCTCCAAACTGTGGTGGGTTCTGCAAGACAAAAGGAAAGGGGGAGACTTGAGCACCATTCCTGTACTGCACATCACCCACACATCCCAGTCTGTCACAGCAGCCAGGCAAAGGTCACCACCTGCAGAGGAGGAGAGTGGCACACATGGGAGAGGGCACAGCACACGACTGCCCCACCAAAGGTCACTTGTCACCCCTAAGAGAGGGGACAGCACAGAAATACTGGTCAGAGCACTCTCAAACACAGGGTTATGAGGAGATCATGCAGCAGGCTCTGCTCTACCCCTCCAAACACTTGAAAGGCAGAGAAAGGAAGAAAGTCTTCCGGGCTTTGTCAGCAAGGCTGCCGATGGATATGTCTGAGGCAGTTTATATCCACTCCATTTCATTATGTATTTTTATCCCATGTAATGCAACAGCAAATCTGATAGGATCCCATGATCACACTCATCTTGACCAGCACATTATGTTCAGCTTTGTTTGTGCTACTTTCTCCCACCCACTCTTCTGCCAAGCAGGAGGAAGATTGGGTATTGCAGCAGTTGCTTTGCCATAGTACACCTACCACAGCATTTTCTGGGCAGTGTTCCAACTTTCTGGCCCTTGGATTCCTTTCCATAAGATTTATGTAGTTTTTTTCCACTGAGAGAAAGGACGAGGGGATAACCAACTCACCTCACAGCTGTGTTCATCTGCACAAAGTTTGCCCAGAGACATCTGAGTCTTGACCCTCCGCACAGCACACTCTTTGTCCGAAAGCCCATCCGACTGCGTGGAGATTTCAATGGGGATCTCTGGAGTCTGGGACAACATGTCCTCCAGCTTCTCAGCCAGCTCATCCTCCAGCTTGGTGGCCAGCTCATCCGGGCTGTTCGAGTGGTCGCTTGTGTTCCCCTCTTCTCCATCCGACACAGAGAAGTTCTCAGAGCTGAAGGTTGAGTAGGACTGGCAGCTACTGATGCAGCGGTGGGGTCTGCAAACAGGGAGAATTCAGTGTTCACCTTGGATGACAGTCACAGGGAACTTCCTGGGTGCTGTGTTCACTGCCCTGCTACACCAGGCCTTGTGGAGTGCCTTCCACATCCTGGAGCTACAGAATTCTACCCCTTCTAAATGACATAGTTCAAGACCTGCATCTCTAAATTCATCTGTTCTTCTCTGGTCCTGTCTGATATGTCCATGTTAGCTGATCTGCCCTGGAGCATATTTTTCTTGGACAGTGCATTTTTGTAAAGTACTAGGCTGTACTGTGGAGTTCTGTTTAATACTTTTATTGATGACATTTGTAGACAACACTAAGCTGGGATTGTGTGTGGATCTGTTGGAAGGTAGGAGGGCTCTGCAGGGAGACCTGGAAAGGTTGGACAGATGAACAGAGTCCAAGGAGATGAAGCTTAATAAGTCCAAGTGCTGAGTCCTGCATTTTGGCCACAATAACCCCCTGCAATGCTATAGGTTTGGGACGGTGTGGCTGGACAGTGCCCAGGCAGAAAGGGACCTGGGGGTACTGGTGACAGCCAGCTGAACATGAGCCAGCAGTGTGCCCTGGTGGCCAAGAAGACCAAAGCATCCTGGCCTGGATCAGGAACAGTGTGGCCAGCAGGAGCAGGGAGGTCATTCTTCCCCTGTACCCAGCACTGGTCAGGCAGCACCTTGAGTGCTGTGTCCAGTTCTGGCCTCTCAGTTTGGGAGGGATGCTGAGACGCTTGAGTGTATCCAGAGGAGGCAACGAGGCTGGTGAGGGGCTGGGAACATAAATCCTGTGAGGAATGACTGAGGGAGCTGGGGGTGTTTAGCCTGGAGAAAAGGAGGCTCAGAGGTGACCTTATCACTCTCTGCAGCTACCTGGAAGGTGGTTGTAGTCAGGTGGGGTAGGTCTCTTTTTCTAAGCAGCAACTGATAGAATGAGAGGACACAGTCTTAAGCTGCACCAAGTGAAATTTAGGTTGGATGTTAGGAAAAAGGTTTTCACAGAAAGAGTGATAAAGTACTAGAATTGTCTGCCCGGGGAAGTGGTGGAGTCACCATCCCTGGACGGGTTTAAAGAAAGATTGGATGGGGGTGGGGCACTCAGTGCCATGGTTTAGCTGAGGTGTTAGGGCATGAGTTGGACTTGATGATCTTAAAGGTCTCTTCCAACCCAGTGATTCTGTGAGTTCAAGCTAACTCACCTGGGAATACCTGCACCACCTGGTAGCTATTCCAGAAGCCAGGCAGGATTTAGGACCATCCACTCAAGAAATAACCTCAGAGTTACTTAACCACAGAAATGGCCTTATGCCAGGATTCAACAGCAATGGGACAACACGTCAGTTGAGGGAACATGCTAGGAGACCCACAACTGGGCATCATGTGGAACAGGCAACTTGTCCTCCTAATCTTCCAAGTTAGTAAATCACAGAGGAAACAACATCCCACAGGAACTGTACGAGTCACCTAACTCATCCAGCCCAGCATTCTGCCTTCAACCCCAGGCAGGAAAGAATAATCTGAGAGAAGTATGAGAATAGGGTATGCAGACAGAGCCTACTTTCTCCTGGCATCTCTTCCTGGCCTGTGCCATTCAGCAGATCTGAGTTCTGAGCAGCTCAAACCCAGATGGCAATGCTAACAGTCACTGATGGATCCATACTCCAGAAATTCTGCACTTACAGCTCTTCATGCTTTGATTTGCACAGCACACCTTGACAATGAGCTGCACATCTGAAAATGTTCTGGATGGAAACACCACTTCCTTTTGTTCATTTTACCCTGTTTGCTTCACTGGCTGCCCCTAACATGAATGTGAAGAATCATTCCTTGTCTATTTTCTCCACATAAATTACAATTTCATGCACCTCTGGTGTTGCCTTTCCTCCTGCTAGAGAAACATTTCACAGGAGTTTAATCTCCTCTTCTACAGAAACCATCCCTAACCACTCTTGTCACACTTCTCAGTACCTTTCCAAACTTTACTGTGGTTTATGAGCTGGGGCAATGAAGGGAAGCATTAGGATTTAAGCTTCAGGTGTGCTGTGAATGCACACAACAGGAGGCAAGACTTTATTTTCTTCTCTGCTCCTTTGAATCAAACCTTTAGCCTTTTTGCCTGCTGGATCACTCCTGCACTTGAAGCAGCTGTTTTTATGAAGCTGCAGCAAAGTCCATGATGTCTTTCCTGAGCACAGTACTGTAAATCCTGCTGTTCCCCAGCCTTATGTAGGAACACTCCCCTTAAGTCTTATTTTACAGGCAATACCATCAAATTTGATCTGCTGTTGTCACTTAGCTCTGCAATCTTATCTGAATTCAGCTACAAAGGTACTGGGCTGGAGTTTTACCCACTGCAACAACAATTAATAAACAACACTGGAAGTAGCCCACAAAGGGTTCCCACATCCACTAAGTCTGATCCTGGTGAAATAGATGCAGCAGCTCATTTACAGAGGCAGAATAATGTTATCAAGTGTGATCAAGTTGTGCTGCAAACAGCCTGCAGGAAAGCCAGCAGGAAAGCTGGGCCAGAGAGAACATCTCAGGATGGGCTGGAACAGTGAGCGGACATGAGGGATCAGCTGAGGGTGGGTGGGACACACTGAATGGGATTCTGCTCTTTTGCCAGCACCTCCACCAGTTTCAGTGCTGGTGTGCAGGTGCTACGAGAGTTCTCCTCAGTTTTGTCCCACCAAAGAGAGATTAGAGTGAATTCACCTTTTACCTTTGTCTACGAGGAAACTCCACTTCACTGTCAACTTCGCCCTCTTCCTCTTCCGACGACTCATCCCCGCTCTGGCAGAAAACAAGGACAAAAAGGTGTCACATTTGGGGAAGTTCAAACATAGCTGACTCTTGGTCCTTCAGGACAAAGTCACTACAAAACAGTGCAAAAATCTACAGGCTGCAAGAATCTAGACCAGAAAACAGCCTGTGTGTTAGGAACACAGACTCAGACATTGTCAACCAGGAGGTTGTTTCAGGCAGTTTCAAGGCTGCTATTCCCAAATCTGGAGTGACTGACTGGGAAATACACTGGAGTACTTCAGCAGGTATGGAGTACAGAACATTCCAGATTTGCACTGAAGCAAATCAAGTACTGAGTATCACATGAAAACCCACATAAATTATAGAGCTGATTTGGCACTTTTGGCTTCACCCTCTTCTACCACAGCCCATCAATAGAGCAGGATGGAGGATGGGTTTTGCCAATGGGTGTCCCCAACTAGGAGAAGCTGGGATTTGTTTCATACCACCCTTTTATTCTCCTTCTCCCATCCAAATTTACCCCAAAACTGTTTTTGTTTTTACAGCCTCCTTCTATCCTATCCAACTTGTTAGCCCCTCATTCAGATTAAGCCTTTATCTCATCCCATCCCCTTGTCTTGCAAGGCCCTAGTCCCATCATGCTGGTAATTACACTATTTTCCTTGACTTTTCTAGCCAGGCTCAGTTTTTCTGCTCTTTGAATTCAGACTGGTTCTTATTTCTCTCACCACCTGGACAGAAGCAGAAGGAACAAAGAGCTGCTTCTCTACAACTCCAGTTGTTGCTTATAAACAACTGTGCCATAGCCTCCTTTTTACTCTTGCAGAATCGTCACAAAATATAGAAGAATTATGACTTTCAGTGTAGGAGGAAAATTTCTGGCAGGTGCTGCAAAAGGGATGTCCTCAAGACCATGGCAAATGTTGAATCTTTGCCCTGAGACACAGCAGCACCACAGATTCTCAAAGAAACTCTCATTTGATATTACAGAACAATTTAAAGAATGCATTTATCCCTTCCTTTGGAGAAAGGCTTGAAAGCATTTTGAGACTGTTTCAACATCAAAAATTCAGCAGAACAAGCTGCAACTCAAACCAGTTAGTGAAATTGCACATAACAGAACCAGGCCCTTCCAAAACCAAACCTTCAAACCCCAGTGCTCTGTCCTCACCTTTTGGAGGGATCTTGCTTTGCAGGGCAGCCCTGAGGAAGCCAAGTGCTGGGGAGTGCCCAGGGCAGACACCGCCGTGCCCTGCTCCTCCAGCTTCTCCATGAACTGCGCGCTCTCGTAGAGGGACGCGGGGGACTGAGGGCGGCTCCCCCCTGGTTCCACAGACGCCATCTGTGCCTGGCCACTGTCCTCATCCCTGCACTGCAGGCAGGGATCGTAGGGATCGGCCTGGCAGCACTCCCAGCGCTCGGCCGTGCTGTCCTTGCTGTCCAGGCCGCGGCGGCAGTCGGCCTCCATGGCGGTGGAGATGAGGTCGGGGCTGGAGCCGGAGACGCGGCGCTGCGCGTGGTTGCTGAGGGGGCTGCGCAGCGCGGCCGCAGGGCCGAAGTACCGCAGGTTGTTGGCGCAGGTGGCGATGTCCTGCCCGTGGGCGTGCAGCCGCGAGTGCTGCCCGTGGGGACTGTGCCCGGGCTGCTGCGGCACTGCGGGGGCGTGGGGAGGGTGGGGAGGGCCAGGCTGGGGAGCGTCGTCTTGCGCTGGCTGGTTTTTCAAGATCCCTGCAAATTCATTGTAGCTGCCTTTGCTGTTCCCCCGGCGGTGCCGGGGCTTGCTGCGGTACCGGCTTTTGCCACTCAGGGTTGACATCTTGGGACTTCCTGAGACTGGGGAGCCATTGGATGCTGCTTCTGTGCTGGGTATACCCTCTGACTTCAGTAGATCCGGCCTGGGAGACAAGGAGAAGAAGTTACATGTCAAGCCACAAACAAAGAAGTGACACTGGCCCAGAGCCTGGATGAAAAGGCAGCTGGAGCCAAAAGCACTCTCTGCTTCCTAAAATCTACAGGCTGCCCTCCCCTTCAGCTGCTTGACTCATGCATTTTGGTCCCTGTGATTCTCTCCACTCAACATCCTCTCCATTCAGCCCATCCTGCTCTACACTCTTGTCTTGCTGTTTTTTCCAGTAGCTGTCACACACTCTCTTTTTCCGCTCTTATTTTGATGTTCTCTCCCAAAATAGCTCCCTCTCAGGACCTTGGGGCAGAGCATGGCTCTCACTCTGTGCATGTACAATGGTGGTGATCAGGCAGCTCATCTAAGAGCCATGTGGGGATATTAATTCAGAAGCGATTATTCACTTGTAATCAGGACTAACTCCTGGAAATCCCAAAAAAAAGTAAGGACTAAGGCAACTCTTTTAGAAAAAAATAGTCTCCAAATCTAAAAGTCATGCAGACGAGAAATAACTGAAAGGAGAGCACGAATTCCCAAATCTCAAATCCCAAATTAATTCCTCAACAATGAATCCATCCTTCCTGAGGCCTGCCTGATTTCCACAATCCCTTGCCCTGCTTATTCCCATCCAAGTCAAGGATGATCTTGGACAGTTAGGAATTTGTGAAACACAAGAGATACCTCCTGTCTGAGCACCATCATCTGCTCAAAGATCACATGGACCAACAATTCATTAAACCAACACATCCTGTGATTCCATGGCTCCAGAGAGCTGCCCAGGTGGCAGGGATGGCAGGATTCATCCCTTTCACCTTAAGATAATTAAACAATTATGGTTCTGAGGATCAGACCAGACTCAAGTGTGAAACCCCTTTGTCCCACCCTGCATTTCAACAGGCTCAAAGGGAAGGAACTGCTCAGTGGGGATCTACCACTGGCTCTGGCACAGGACTGGGTTGTTACTTCTCACCGTTTGGTCTGGCTGCCTGGTTTATGGGAGACCCCTTTCCTCTTCATCAACTTCTCCACTGTATTGGGGTGGATGATTGGTCTGACTGGGTGGCGTTTGTAAGTTCCAGGGTACTTCTTTTCCACTGCTTGTTCCCTCCTGAAACATCAGGGAAAGAGAGAAAAAAAAAAAAAGAAAACCAAATCAGTTCTCCCTCTCTCCACCTGCTGCTCCCGCTGGACAGGAACTGGCTCTGCAGGGAACACGCTGCATGCCTGATTGCTCTGCTGGGAAAGCACACAGACACTTCTAAACTCCTTCTAAATTCTTTCTAAATCACACAGCAGGCACAAGGTCCTGGAACACAGTCTAGGAGCAGCACCGCCATTCCCTTCATGCATGGGCCAAAGGATGCCAGCACCAAATGGGAAGGTGCCTTTCTCCAAGTCAGTAACCACTGACAGTGGTCTGCAGGAATTCACTCCAAAGGGTCCTCTCACTGCTCACCAGCAATTCCCTAACCTTTGTGGTTAGTCAGGGGACACTAAATCTACAAGTGCCACTATCCAGTTTAGAAATTAAGCGCTCTTTGTGCTCTGCTGTGTGCAGGCTGTTCACATCACCATGCCCGGACACGTACTTGATGAGCTCCTTCTCCCGCACCTCCAGCTGCAGCATGATAGCACTGAGCTCCATGTACAGGTTATTGGCTCGCTCCAGCTTCCTCTCGTAGTGCTCACGGATATCTAATGCATGTCTGAAAGGCAGAAAAGGCTTTATTCCAGCCTGACTTCCATGGACCAAGAGAAGAGAATGAGGAAAAGTACAGGTGCTTTAGGAAAAGGCCTTTTAAAAGTCAAATTTGCCAGCTGTACTGCACTAAATCCCAGATACAGCTAACAGTGAATGATGACTGATTAAGAGCCTGACACAGCAATAAATCATGGTATGGTTTAGAAAGTGTTTAACAGCCTTGAAAGTGTGGCAACACTTCTCCCTAGAAGAGCTGCAAATGCCTCACATACACCCAGGAGCCCTCTGGCCAAGGCCTGATCAGCCTGTTTGCACAGAAAAGGGGCTAAACCAGCCTCTACAGAAACAGGAAAGAAGTCATGTGTCTGTATTTAATTAACAGCAGGGTGTCCACACAGCTCCAGTACAGATGAAAGATGTGGCCACCCAAAACTCCCTGGGGACAGGGAACACTGAACAACCACTGCATCAAATTCCCTGGCCAAGGGTCTCTTTGACTCCTCAGGTTTGACACAGAACTGCTTCTTAGAGTTTTATGTTTCTCTGTCTGCTGTATTTGCAAATTTGTATCACAGGATACAATTTCTCTTCTTTAAATAAACCCTTTGCTTTCAATTTTAAGTTGGTATAATCAAAATGCATTTCAGTGGGCTGTTTAGATGAAGTATGTTCACTTCTCTGTAATAAGTAACCCAAAGAAAGAATCAGGGCACAGAAAGCTCACAGCCAACCTCAGCATGGATTTCCCACTGAGATGGATGTCTCTGCTTCAGTGCTGTTTTCACAAACACCAATTCTCAGGCAGAAATATTCCCTGGGAAACACACAAGCCTTTGCCACCCTCTCTGGAGCAAACTGTTGAGACTGCCCAAGAGCAGCGACAGCTCCCACTGCTTCTCTCCAGCTTCCATCAGCTGAGCAGTGCTCATGGCCTAGGCCATGCCCATGGGAATTTTGCTTTCCGGGTTCACAAGGAATTTAGACTGCCCAAATTTATACCACCAGGAATACTGGGTCCTGTTTTGGAAACCTCAGCACAAGAGGAGAATAAAAAAAGTCAGGGGCTGGAGCAGGAAGCCCTGTGAGGACAAGCTGAGGGCTCATTTAGCTGGGAAGGGAAGGCTGGATAGGAAAAGCAAACAGTACACACAAAAGACTGTGAACAGACCTCAGCTCTTCTCTCCGACGGCGAATCAATTCTTCATCCAGCCGGTGGATACATGTTCCTTCACTTTTAATTTTCTCAAAATGTTTCTTCACTTCTTCTCTCCATTCAGCCTAGGAAAGCAATTTACTTTTAGCTATTTACGAAGAATTGGGATCTGTAGGTGTAGCACAAAAAACTCCTGGGTAATGTTGTTTGTGTCTGCAGAAAATTACAGCTTTGGGTTGAGAATGTATTTTCGTTAGCTGAATTATTTTGGGTAACAACGCCGCAGCACATTTAGTGCCAGCATTTTCAAATGGTATTTACACTTTCGTGCTTCAAACAGAGAATTTACAACATATCTGTATTTTCTAAGAAATATTTTTTTTTAATTCCTAGAGTTCTTTTTGTCCTAAGAGAACATTGTCTTTACTTTTGGCAGTGAAAATAAGTAGAAAGGTTCATGGTTTTGAAAGCCGCATGATGATGCCTGTCTAGATACTCTATTTGCCCCTTGAAGCCCTGGCTCCTGCAGCAGAAGTCTCAGTAGAAGATTTTCAAACACCCATCAAGTTGCTCCTCCCAAGAATCAAACCAAAATCATGGATCCAGACTTTCCCTACTCAGTGCACCCTCCAGAATCAGATCCTTGGAGCTAATTCCAGTACTCACAGGCTACAGCCTTTCCCCAGTTACCTGGGATTTGAAGTAGGTTTCCTGAGGAGTAGCCAGCACATCAGCAGAGGCGATGTCCAGGTGCATCAGTGTCTGCCGGAAGGACGGACGGTTCCGGGGCTTGCTCTGCCTGAAACAAAACAAACAGCCAGGGCTGAGGTGAGGGATGGGCACTGCCAGCCTCTCCTGCCCTTCTGAAAGGGTCTCACTAGATCCTATTCTCTGAACCAAGCAGCTGACAGGTTAGAGCAAAGGAGCTTTTCTGCTTTTCTCTTTTGCTGAATACAATTTAATTGCGCTAGAGGTGATTTGTGATGACCCATTCTGGAGAAAAAAAAAGAGGTGCAAAATGTTTAAGACCAGAAAATGAGACTACAGAGTAAAAGATAACAGAAAAGTAGAAAAATGTTTGGATTTTTGAGAAAAAGGACCAGCACTTGAGTTTCAGGACCGAAACCACCTTGCACAGGGCAAGAGCAGCTTCTCGAGCCTCCTCTCCCCTACCAACCACCTCCTTCCACTAGGTGGGGATACAAGTGTTTGTAGGTACTCTGCTGAACCGAGCTGCACGAGCTGCCACAGCCCAGCTGCTGCAGCTCAGGGTAAACAGCCACTGGGAGAGGAGATCCACACATGCTCTGGCCTGTTGTCCCCTTTGTGCCATGGGGAGGATGGCTGGTAAAATCCATGGAGTGGGAAAATGCTGGAAGACCCTTTACACTGTGTCAAGATGTAATTACAAAGACAAAGCATCGATGTGAAACCCAAGACAAAGAATTCCAGCTCTAATCTGGTACATGGAGGAAACTGAAAGCATTTTCTATATCTGAACCTGGAAAATCTGTTCCAGACAGAAAGCCTGTATTTCTCTTTGTCCAGTCCAAAAGCCAGTTGGTTTTGGACAAGGGGTTTTGCAAGTGAAAAAAATCAGTTCCATTCACTCTGGATGCAGCCTCAAGGAATTTTACCCCTACTTTCCTTCCAGCTCTTTTTGTCTTCTCACAGAACCACCTTTTATCCCCCACTTTGCTACAGCAAAGCAACACCCTCTGTGAAGGCTCCTGAAGATGTCCTGGGATCCAGGCCTGCTGCCACAAGGAAGCAGAATCCAGAATGTTAGAACTTATTGCTCCCAGGACCAGTGTGAGAGTATCTCAGAGCCCTCTGCTCTGGGCTCCGTACTCCCACGCTGACTTTCATGGGTTTTGCTGGGAGCCAGCCCTAGATCTGTGCTGTGTGGGGTTCAGGCTCTTACCAGGTTTGCTTCATGAGGATTTTGAAGCCATCTGGGCAGGTGGAAGGGACAGGAAGATGGAGGCTGTTACTGCCCACTCCCCAAATGATGGCCGAAGAGTCCACGTCTTTGTAGGGAATCTCTCCTGTGAGCAGCTCCCACAAAACCACCCCAAAGGACCTGATGAAGAAATAAACCAGAATAAATTGAGTTCACACAGAAGCTGTTAACAGAAACATCAGAAGCTTGAAAAAAAACAGTTTGTTGGGCAAAATAGGGAAATAGGGATGTCTGGTCCAAAACTGCAAGTAAGTGCAACAGTGGTTTTTAGCACACCAGTTAACTCCTCTGCTCCTGCACTGGGCTGAGCACAAAACCACACTACCCTTCCACCTTTCCATCTACCCTTTCCTGCTTCTTTGTGAGATTTTAAAGACTCTGAAAGCACATTTTCTGTACAGATTAAGTCTTGTTCCTCTTAAATGAAGAGACTCCAAAGTCTACTCTCAGATAGACTTTGGACTGTTCTTGCTGGTAAGAACAGATGATTGACTACTGCACAGACTGACAAGTGTCTTACAGAGACAACACAACAAAGGTTTTGTGGCTTTTTTACATTTCATTTAACTGGTTTTGTTTTCTTTTCCCTAACCAAAGGCTCCCTCTGCTGTTACCTGCAGACCCAGGTAAAAGTTTCAAGGTTTGAGACTCAGCACTACAACTACTGCAACACAGAAATTAGGAAACAAATGCTACTTGCATAACTGTTGGTACCAAAAGCACATGAGGTCTCATCTGATATTCCTTTTGTTCTGAAGATAGGAAGGATACAGAAAAAAAAAAAATTAATTAAGAGAACTCAGTCAAGGACAGAATCTCCCACAAGAACTGAAAGACGTAGTTAAGAAAACTCACTTTGCTTTCTCTTCCTTAGTGAAGTTACCAGAAAGAACCAAAACCTTTATTTTTAACAGCAAACATTTGTTTTGTATACAATCATCACCTGATAAATCACCGAAGAAACAGCAAACCAGTCATTACAGAGGTAAACAAAATGCTGCTGAGAACCACCACCACTGTTACTGCACATCAACAACTGGGCTGTGATACAGGTGAGGCACAACCGTCCCTATTTCCAAACCAGACGTGCCACCTCACTCTGTCCCATTCCTTTGTGGGACATCAACCCTGCCAAGCTGCAGATTACAGGTGAAAGGTGAGAAGGATATTTCTGGCTTGTACCAATACCCAGTGCTTTTATTAAGTACAGAAGAACTTCTAAGGGACAAACTACCAGGTCTGAACAACCATCAGACAGGAAACAATTTCATGTGAAAAACATTGCACTTTCAAAGCCCATTGGTTTCAAATCATGTGTAAAAAAAAAAGCAACAAGCAGAATTTGAGTATTTCTCGCCTCAAAATCCTTTTCTGTAGGCTGAAGGAAAGCAGGGATCCAGGACGTTGGACAAACTACCAGGAAAAGCTCATCTGGTTTCATATTTGTTATGACTAAGAGCTGACAAAGGATTTCCAAGACTTCTGATAAGATTATAGATTTATTTTTCTGCATGCTGTTAGAGATGAGAGAGAGCAGGCATATAAGCAGCTCAGGAACTGTTCTCATTTGTTGGCAGCATTCATGAACATAATTTTTATTCATCTTGAGGGAGGAATGGATGGCAAGGGAGAGTCTGAGCAATCACCACTGTTGTGAACTCCAGAGGAACTGGCACCAAAGAGCAACATCTCCATGTCACTGAGATTTTACTGGACAGGATGTTCTGTGAAATATTCCTGAACAGAAACCACTCTAAAGGACAGAAAGCTGAGGGTGGAAATCCAGCACCACTCGTCCTCACAATGCTGTGATTCAAAGAGAGGGGTTCAGCAGACAAATGCTGGGTGTGTTTCTTTCCAGAACAACCCAAGTGTTCCTCCCAGAGGAGATGGCTGTGCTGTGACCTGGACATCCAAAACAAACACACAGGACACTGTGGGCACAAGAGCAGCTGCACACCACAGGTAACATCACCTGTCCTGCAGGAAATCTTGCCCTTCAGGTCAAGCCCAGGCCAGAGCTAGAACTCCAGCAGCAGCTTCTGACTCCACTGCACCCTGGACCACCCACAGCTTTGTCCAGCAGCTCCCTGCCCTGCCAGGGAAGGAACAGCATCTGAAGCTGAAAAACCACAGGAAGCAAAATCCCTCCTGGCTGTAAAGCAGGGAGAAGGGTATTTGTCCTGGCTGCTGACATTTAATATGCAGAAATAATAAGGCAGAAAAAGACATGCAGATCCCTTGAGGGCTCTGAAACCTGTGGAGAGGCTTCCCAAATGAACTCCAAGGCTGAGCCCTCTCAAGCATTTTTAATAGCACAGAGACTGAACCATTCCTTGTGTTCCTTTGGACACAGAGCATGTTCCACATCAATGGAAACAGGTTCCAAAACTCTTACAACCTGTTCTGGTTTCCTCCCTCTTGGATCCAGGATTGGATTCACTGGACTGTAATCCTGGGGCTGCCCATACAACAACCAGCCTGGTGTGCAGGAAGCACAAGGGGTGAGGAGTGGAGCAGGGGCCTCCCCACAGCTCCAGAGTGGCCCTGAAGAAGACCAGAAGTGATGGAAAAACCACCCTGGCTGTGGAGGCTGCTGAGGGGGCCCTGAGCACAGCACTGGGAGAAAGCTCTGGGCTGGATAATGACAGAGGGAAGAATTTCTCCATTTGCTTCCTGCAAGACACAGACTGCACTGAGCCTTAGCTGGAACCTGCAGGTCAGCACACCTGTGTCATTTCCCTTTCCATCAGAGCCCACCAAAGCTCAGAGCACCAGGCAGAAGGAGAAAGGAACAGCCCACCACAGAGCAACCATGCTCAGGCACAGGATGAGGAAAGGACATGGAAAGTGCTGGAAAACCAAGGGACTGAAGAGAAGGTGAAGGTGAACATGACTCACCAGATGTCCACCTTCTCAGAGACGGGCTCGTTCCGTATCACCTCCGGGGCCATCCACGCCACTGTCCCCGCAAAGGACATTTTGGTACTTTTGTCACTGAGCTCTTTAGATGTACCAAAATCTGAAATCTTTACTGCATCTGTGTGTGTAACCAAAACACTAGAGAAGGAGAAAAAAAAGAAGTCGTCACTATTTTGTGATTTTTCTTGCACCACAACAGCCACAGGAGTAAATCCCTTTTTAATCAACACAATCTGTTGATGAGGCCACACTGCTCACAAGTGCAGTACAAAAGAAAAGATTTTGTATTTTCCCCAATAAAAGCTCTCACCCTCTTTTGGGTGGTTGTGTTTTGTGCCTTAAATGCATTTCTTAATGCTACGAGTCAAAAATCAATCTCAATAAAACTGCAAATTAACAAGTAACTGAGAATCCAGAGCCAAAGCTGTACCTTAAACTGTGCTTTAAATCATCTAAAAGCATTATCTTAATGCACTGTCACAGACTAAAGAAGTAATAAACATCTAGGGAATAAGAATATAAAGAAGCCAGAACATTTTAGTCAGAAAGCAACAGAGAAATGAGGAAGACACATTCCAGAAAACCAGGGAAATAATAGGAGAATAAGAGGGGAAAATAAAAAGGCAGGAGGCAACAGAATACCCCACTTTCCAAAAAGACCAGATATCATAAAATCATTAAATATTTCCTGACTGCTATTTATCATGGAAGATACCAGTAAAATTTTCACTCTTTTTAAGTGCCAACAAGTTGCAATAGTTTCACTCTCATTAGTTTTGAGTCAACATGGGGGAAAAAAGAGTAGAGCCTTTTGACCAAACTTTAAAGTATTTCTCAAGAAAAGGAAAAATAACCCCAACTGAGGGATATTTAAACATCTGGGACTCACTTTGATGACCTGAAGAACCACAACTGGGGGATGTTTAAGCATCTGAGACTCACTTTAATGACCTGAAGAGCCACAACTCGGGGATGTTTAAATTTGATGACTTCAGGAACTCAAACTAAGGGATGTTTAAGCAGCTGAGACTCACTTTGGTGACTTGAGGTCTCGATGGATGATTTTGTGGAGGTGCAGGTAGTTCATGCCACTGGCAATCCCCGTGGACCAGTCCACCAGCAGCCGTGGGGTGACCTTCCTGCCGGCCCGCAGGACCTCGTAGAGCTGCCCATGGGCACAGTACTCCATGATGATGCAGTAGCACGGGGCCTGGGTGCAAACTCCCCTGTCAAAGAGAACACACAGTGAGGAGCAGCACACAGACAACTGGCCAGGAAGGGTGACCACTACTTTGTCCTAGACACAGCTTAGCTCCTGGATTGTATAAATCTTCCTAGAGAACCTGAGCGAACAGCTCTTGCCTGGACAAAGCTCCTGGCAAGGGTCACAACCTACTTGAAGGCGATAATGTTGGGATGCTTGAGCTTGCGCAGGTGCTTGATGTCCGTCTCGTTCTGGTCCCTCACTTTCTTGATGGCCACCTCCTCTGCCCGGAACTTGCCCAGGAACACAGCGCCCTGTGCCCCGCTGCCCAGCCACTGCAGCTCCGAGATCTCCTCGAACGGCACCTCCCACGTGTCTGGGCACAGGGGAAAAAACAGGATAATGGAAAAGGTCAAGCACATGGAAACTGTCAGAGCACACCAGGGCAGCACCTGCCACCTCCTGCACCACAGGTTGGGCTCTTCTGGAGGGAGCAGGTGACATCTTCTGGCACAGCTGAGGCACACACCACACGTACTCAGCCCCAACAACCTTTTCAGTGATCGAGTCACCTCATTCCCATCCTTTCAGCTTTTCCACCACCCTGCTAACCACTTGTGAGAGCCACTGCAGCTTGGCAGGCAGCAATTTACCATACCAGGGACCCGGGACTGGCAATTCTGGGAGATCCTCTACCCCAACACTGAGCAAAGCACGTGACTCCATTGAAAAGCACAGATTAGAAGAAACATTTAACATTCACAAGTGATATAAAAATATTGAGGGTCTTTTTCACTCCCTGAAATAAACAAAAATAGGCAATAGAAGTCAGAGGTGGCAGGCTGTAAAGCACAGAGCAGCAACCACCAAGATAGCCAACACAAAGCACATCAACCACCAGCAGCAGGCACAGAAATAGATCCTTCCCACACCAGCACTGGTTATATCAATGTCAAACAGCAAAACAACCTTAAGCAATTCCTCCTCTTCGGTACCCACACACATTTGTAGGGATAATGCTGGAGAGGTCCAGTGACACTGTATAAACTGCTTCAAGAGAGCTGCACCCATCAGAACAGAAAGCCCTGTTCCCTATCAGTCACCTTGAAATTACCTTAAATCTCACAAACAACAGGAAAAAAGGCAGGGACCTGTTTATTTATTGTAATTCAATAAAGATCTACCCTTGGAGAATAAATTATTTAGCAGCAAGCCCAACAAGTAACCCGCTGATTTCTGAAATAAAGGAAGTCACACCTGTACAGATCTCTGTTTCAGATGACTACAAATGTTGTCTCACCCAGACTCCGAGCCTTTGGGAAGTTCCCAGGGCAGCAGCTAGGACTCTGCCAAAGTGTCCATTCTAGATACTGTTATCACTGAAGGGAAACTTGTATATCCCAACTGTGGATATACAGGTTCAGCCAGGGAAAGCTTTGAACTGGGATCAGCCACACAGGTCTGTGGGCTGATCCCAGTTCAAAGCCTTCCCTGGGATCATTCCTGTGACAGGCAGGCAGTGGCTGCTGTCTCCTGTTGAATGAGTGCTCCCCAGGCACGGCCATGGAGAAGCAGCTCTCCCCCAGAGCCAGACCCCAGCACTCCTCCTGCTCACTGACCTAAAAACAAAAACATTGCTCATCCCCAGCAGAAATTCCCTCCCCTTTGGCAGGGCAGAGTTCAACCCCCAGCACATGTTCCTTCCCAGACACAAGGCTCTTTTCCTTACTCATGGATCCACTCACAGCTCTGAACTTAAACTGGCATTTAAATCTTTGTTATATTCTATTTCTAAATGTCCAAAGAAAATAATTAGATAATTAATAAAACTCATTCATTCATTCATAATTAAATCAAGAAGATCTGTATTTCTATTTAATTCACACATGCATCACTTCTGAAAGGAGGTGGCAAATAGAGGTGATTGTTGTGCATGTTGATGAACGGTATTTTTATATGGGCAACATCGAAACTATTCTGTTGTACCGAAATAGCTGTTTCTTTCATAGAACCATGGAATGGACTGGGAGGGAAGGGATCTAAAAGCCTATCCAGTTCCACCCCTGCCACGGGAAGGGACACCTTCCACTATCCCAGGGTGCTCCAAGCCCTGTCCAGTCTGGCCTTGGACACTTCCAAGGATCCACAGGCAGCCACAGCTGATCTGGACACCCTGTGCCAGGGCCTCAGCACTCTCACAGGGAAGAATTTCTCCCAGGTATCCCATTTATCCCTGCCCTCTGGCACTGGGAAGCCATTCTCAGTTGTCCAAAGTCTCTTTCCATCCTTACTTGTGGGAAGTCTTTCCTGTACAGGACACAGAACACTGACATTCATTTCCATGAGGCATTTACAGTTTGTGAGCACTAATGGATAACTGTATCACCTTGGAACCCTAGTTTGTTCTTAATATTCCCTATCAGGTAATATTACCTTTCTCTAATAGTCCCTCTGCAATGGCAAAGGCTGAGAGAGGCTGTAAACAAAGTAAGCAAAAGTTCATGTGGTTCCTTCTGTAAAGTCATGTATTTATTTCAGAACACAGATGCTCTACCATATCCCATTTGCATCCTGATTGTCAGGGGCACAATTCTGGAAACTGGTTTTAGTGTAGTGACAGTGAAATATCCCACATCTTGGGGAATATCAAGAACAAAGAGCCAAACCACAGGTAACATACAGTGTAGTAGTCAGACTCTTCTGGGCCTTAAGAAACCAGTGGGATACTTCCCCTAAATAAATTCAAGTGTAATAGCAGCAGGAATTACGCAAGAACTTGCGTTTCTGAGGTGATTAAGAACCATTTGAGTAGAATGATGAGAATCTATTTCCCATGGGGAAGAAATGCAAGAGCAGCCTGAGCCATTGAACCAATCTATTTGGAGGAAGCTTTTCCCAGCACTGGCTGCTCTCCAGTACTGGCACTGTGACAAGAAGCATCTCTGGTTTACACAGGCCCCCTCAACACAAGCACCCTCTGACAGGCACCTTGCTCTCCAGGTAGACAAAAACTCTCACAATGAGGGTAAACACAAAACTTGTGAAAGGGAAGGTGAAAGCAGCTCCTGGAGACAGCTTCTTAATCCAAAGGAAATGGCTGGAAAGTCTAATGAGTCTCTAGGAAACACAAACAAGTCTTGCTTTAAAGTGTTGGAGTCCCCACAATCCCAATTAAATAACTGGTAGATTCAAATTAAAGAACTGAGTGCGTCTCCCTGAAAGCATTCACCAGCAACCTTCAGAAATCAGGGTAAACAACTTGAAAAACATAGGAGGTAGGGATTTTATGGGTCAAACCCCAAGTACTTAAACCTCAGATAATCACCTGGCACTGAACAATACAAAAGCAAACATTCCCCACAGGAATGACTCCTCACCAAGCAGTGATTGGCATTACTTGGTCAACCAGCACAGAGCCTGTGGCAGCTCCCAGCTGACCATGGCTTTGCCCAGCCCGGGTCCTGAAGGGAAGGACAGGCACACCCCCACCTCTTGTTGACCATTCAGGTGTCAGGAAGGGCACCCAAGCAGTAATTTCTATAAGAAGATAATGCAGAACCATGTAAAAGCTGTTCTTATCTTTTCCCTCTTTCACCAAGTCACAGCCAAAGCTTCACAAACAACATGGGCTCAAGGACATGAAACATATTTGTCTTTTACTACTTGCAACCACAACACCACCACCATGTCCTGAAGAATGAGCCTGCAGGACAGCCAAAGCAGGGGGGCAGGGACACCAGGGAGCAGCAAAAAGTACCACAAAGCACTTGCAGGCAACATAAAATGGTTTGGGTTGGAAGGAATCTTAAAGCCCATTTCCTTCCACCCCCTGCCACAGGCAGGGACACCTTCCACTATCCCAGATTGCTCCAAGTCCTGTCCAGCCTGGCCTCGGACACTTACAGGGACACAGGGGCAGGCAGTTTCCCTGGGAAGCTGTGCCAGGGCCTCAGCTCCCTCACAGGGAAGGACTTCTCCCTAATCTAATCTTAATCTCTCTTCTCTAAGTTTAAAACCATTCCCCCCTGCCCTATCACTACTTCCCCATGTAAAAAGTCCTTCCCCCTCTTTTTTGTAAGCTCTCTTTAAGTTCTGGAAGGCCACATGGCTGCAGATGCAAACTGGACTCCTACCCCTGTTGTTGATTCAGCCCAACACAAAGGATTACTCCTGGATGAGGCTTGAAGTAGTTGTCTCATAAAGGGGGAAAAAATCATCTGCACAGATCCATGGCAGCAGCCCAAAGCTGTAAAGCAGCTCCCAGGGAAATGAAAAGCCACCACAATCCTCTCCCTGCTGCTGAAAGAGCCCCAGACATTTCCTCAGCCACACAGCACTTGCACAAACACAATCCATGCATCCTCTATGCTCTTGCTAAAAGACAGCAAAAATAAAAATAATCACATACATCAGTTACTGAACTGCTGGCTTGTATGTAGCTGATGAAATGCACACAGAGATGATTTTCTGGTGGCAAGAAGCAAGAATGAGATCATCTGGAAAAGAGAACATGAATATTCTCACAAAATCCTCAAGTTTCAGCACAGAAGCAGTTTGAAAAGGTTTATCCTTGGGTAACATGAATGTACTACTGCCATCAGGATAACAGATGCCATCAAAACAAGACAACTGAGCAGCTCCAGAAGAAAAAATAATATTTTTTTAAAAAAAAATCTTCTTTTCACTCCCCTTTCTAACAATGAAGACACTGAAAATGCAGCTGAACACACAGCTACATATAGCTGATCCCAATTAATCCTCAGCCTTACCACATCTGTAGCCAGTTCAAATCTGCCCTTTCAGAAGGGCCTGATGCCAGCAGCGAACAGCAGAGTGCCCCTGGATGTGTGGCTCTGAACATGCTCCCAACACAGAGAACAGCAAGACACCCTGTGCACAGGAACAAGCTCTGCATGCACCCTCCAGCCCCAGCACTGCTCTCAGCTGCTCCTTTTCATTCATTAGTGCTTCCAGCTTTTAGTTTGGTGACTTCCATACAAAAGCAAGTGCCCCTGTGGGTCACCAGAGCACAGATTGCACTGTGGTCTCCAGTGCAGCTGCTGGCCCTGCTCTGTGGGAAATGGGATCTCTCTGTCCTACAGGCAGCTCTCCCAAAGCCACCGCTCCGAGGTGACAGGGACACACTAGCACAGGATGGCTCAGAGACAGCAGTGGGGACAGGTGTGGGACACACAGAATTGCTGAGAGTGGCCACTGCCATTCTGCATCTGTGGCCTTTCCTCGGAAATTTTTAGCTTCCCTTACAAACACTGAGCATCCAGCCCAAAGCACCGTCACACAGACAGTGCCCAATGCCTGCTCTGAATGCCATCCGACTGCTCGGAACCTCCTTTTCCTTCCCAAGGGAGACTCCCCACCCAGACAGCCCTTCCAAAACTCTTCACCCTTTGTGCAATCACCCCAGCGGCCTTAATTCCCCAGGGAACTTTCTGTCACTGTTTTTATTTATAGTCTGAACCACATGTGACACACCAAATTTACAACATGCAAATGAAACAGAACCAACTGTGCCAGAGAATTTCAAAGCAAGCAAACCCTTGCACAGAGAGCTGCTGCTCAGGAGACACCTGGAATGTAGAGGTGCATTTCCTGCTCGCTTATGAACTGGAAACAATTGACTCTAGGAAGCTGATTTCAAGGCAAATTCATCCAACACATTATTTAACAGCTCTGTTCCCTCATATTAGGAGCTGTTCCCCATCCCTCTGGGGTTCAGATTTGAACCACTCAGGTTTCTGACCTTGTATCTTATAATTTGTGCCAAAAAGCCACTTGATTACTACTGAGTGATGCTCAAAGGAGATTTTGCCCCATGGTACTGCGGTGGCCAGGCTGTTCCCATTTTCCATAAGCCACAACCATTTCAGCTCCTTAATTCTAATGACAGCTTGTTCTTTTCCCATCTGCCACCTCCCTCCCCCTGTGCTAGGGGAGAAATCAGACACCGACAACAGAGCATACTCTGCTCTTTGGTTTTCAGTACCCCCTAAATATACATATATAGGTAGATAAATAGATATGCAGTCAACTGGGACATCACTTATTCTCAAGCCACAGATTTTATATGTATTTATACTCACATACACTTACACATTTACGCTTAGATATCCAAATGGAAAAGGTATAAATATTGAAGAACATATTTCTGGAAAGACAAGTACTAAATGATGTTTTAAAGAGGAGAATTACTCCTGAATAGAAAGAAATAAAAGTCTTTTTAAAAGAGAAGCAATACTCCGGCTATTTGGTGGTCAACTGGGGACAGCCTTCACCTGCAGGTTCTGAAGTGGAAGTGCCTATGTCAGTGTTTTCCATCTGGCATAAGAAACCTCCAGAAATTAACACAGGGATTGTACCAAGTACTTCAACACAATTCCATCTGATCCCCACGCTCGGCTCAGATTCAGGCCTTGTCACAATGGCCCAAGCCATGGGGCTGAACAGGTTTTGCCTCCCTCACGAGCTGCCTTTGCCACACATGACAGCTGTTGGCTCCACAGTGCAGGATTTATCCCTGGAAACCCGTGACAGAGCTGGACAAGACAAAATCGGCCACGTGGAGAGCTGGGGAAGAGCCCTGGCTTCCTTGCCTCACCTCCCCTCACCCCAAAGCCGGGGCTCCCTCCCTCTCACCTTGCTGCTGCAGTTTGTAGTCCGTGGAGTAGGCCTTGCCTATGATGTTCCACACGGGCCGCAGGCACCCGAAGAGCCCCTCGAGGAAGCCGCCGCTGCCGCTGCCCGTCCGGTTGAACTGGACCTTCACATCGTCGCCGGCACCGCTGGTGTCGCCGTCGCCGGGGCTGCGGGTGCCCTGCGGGAGCCCCGGCTCGGGCTCGTCCTGCTCCCGCAGCTGCAGCACGCTGTTCTCGAAGTGGTCGCGGGCGTCCTCGCTGATGCTGGTGAGCACGGCCGCCGTGCCCGGGCTGCTGACGCCCTCCAGCAGCTCGGCCGGCAGCGAGCCCCGCTCCCGCACGTCCTCCAGCAGCTCGGGGGACGGGCGGCTCCCGGCCGCGGGGTGCTCCTCGGGGAACCGCCCCAAGTCTTTGTCCTCACAGAACGCTTTGCCGATGGAGCTGGGAGAGGAAGACAGGCTCAGGCGCTCCTGAGTGCTGGCCATGATGCCGTGAGTGTGCATCAAGGAGACGGCCCGAGGGGGTGCTCAGAGCATTCGTAGGACACAACTCACAGGTGACACGTGGGCCCAGTACCTGAAACAAGAGGAAAACGAACAACTTTCAATTTTTTATTGAAGTATTTTCACTACGTGCAGTTTCACTGAGGTGAGCTGATAATTAACTAGACTTTCCAGACAGCCGCTGATACTTGGTAAATAATTACTGCCCTAAAAGAAACAAATAAATGGTTCCAACAGAAACTCCACTCAGGCAATACTCTCAGTAACATACTGAAGGAATTGCCCAGGAAACAAACACTACAATTTTAAACAAGAGCCTAAAGGTCAAAATCATGAAAGATTCCTTGCAGAGAATTCCCATAGCATTATCAGACTGAAGCTGTGGTTTGAGTCCCACCACTGTTCCTGGGCCTGGCACAGCCCACGAGCTCAGGATCCCTCTGCAAACCCTCGAGACAAGGTGTTAGAGAAACAAAGCCCGGTGATACAGGTACCTTGATTCCACCAGGGGATGGTTTGTGGCTGCTCCCACAGAGCTCCCCCTGATTATTACCATTCTGGATTGACCCTCCATGTCCATTGTGGCAAGGTATGCTCAATTCTCTAACCGCATCCATGCCACCCTCATAAGCAAGTAAAACTTTGAGTTTCATGGAACAACAGACACTCTTTGCTGTTCTCCCACCATGGCTCTCCACTTCACCCCTGCATGAGCTTCTGGGAGAGTGCACATAAAACAAGAGCTGGGATCCCTTTTAAGAAGTGCCTCCATCTCTTGCTCCATTCTCCACTGAGAGGTCTTTTTTCCACGACCCATGGTGGTGCCACCTTCCCACAGAGCCAGGTTGATGGCTGGGGTCACGCTGCCAGAGCTGCCCACTGCAAAAACAGTTTTGGGATAGACCCTTCTGAAACAAGAGGCTCTAACACCGGGCCACAAGCAATTAAGTGAATTCAGCCTGCAAGATGGAACAAAGTCCAGTTTTAAATTCCATGAGAAGATGAGAGTGGGGTAAAAAAAATGGCCTTAACAGAAAGGATTTTGTTAAAAAGTAAGATGAGTTATAGTGGGTGCAGGTTCCAGGCTCTGCAAACAGCCATTGGAAGGGAGAAAGAGGTGGCCAGGTAGGACACAGCCAATGGCAAGGGAACAGCTCAGTGCCATAACTGCTCAGGACGAGGTCACTGCAGAGAGGAGATAAGCCCTTCAGCCCACAGGATGAAAAGCCCTGGGCTTCAGCCCCTCTCCAGCAGCAAACAGGAACAGCCAGGAACCTGGATTACATTCCTGCATCCTGCCTGATCACACAGGGCTTGCATAAAAGCTTTATTTAGGTTGTAAACTTTGTTCTTTAAAAGAAAGCAAAACAACAAGTGAGGCAGAGGTTGCAGCACAGCCCAAACCAGGTAGAGGAGCTGAATCAGACCCATATGGGAAGCTGGAGAGTTGGTTATTCCTGACCTGCTGCTGGCCAGCATTACAATGACCAATTCAGCAGCGTGGGAAGCTGCAGTGTGACCTCAGAGCACAGTTACTACTAGCAGCAGTTGTTCTATTATCACAGATTTTGTTATTGATAACAAGGTGCTTCAGACCTGAACAGAATTTCAGAAAAACACCTAGCCAGGCCCAACTCAGTGTTCCTGGGCACAGCCCCAGCTCATCACCTAAAGTGAGAGTGACAAGTGATTGTTTAAACAAGAGCAAAATGCGACCACTGCTCCTACAGAGAAATCTGCTTTTGTAACATAGAATATTAAGCAATGCAAATAAAACATCAGCCAGGTGTCCTGCAAGAAATTCAAATGCAAATGCCAGAATTTGAGGCAACAGTGTCCCAAAATATCTCAAATTTAAGCCTTTGGAAGTGCATTAAGGATTAAATCAGACTTGGAGGATAAAATAACTTTGCTGTTATGTGACTCTCAAGAGTACACTACTACAGTGTAAGGTTTTACTTTTACATTTTTACAATTTTCTGCCTCTGGAATGTTTGATTGTGGAGATTTAACAGGGAATGAACAGCTTTTCACTACACAGCTCAGCCAAGAACAAAGCCCCAGACTCAGGGACATCAGGTCTGTTTTCCCAGATCAAATTGCTTTCTCCAGCACTGAGAGGTTTCAAATAAAAAAAGCCTTTAGGCACAGTGTCCTGCCACTTTACATGCCCCTTTATGTGCTTCATGGGGAGAGAAGGCATATAAAAGTTATGGAATTATTTTCAAACTGGCATGAAACAGCCTTATTTAGGCCCTTACATAAGCAGTCTAATTTTCAGAGGTGTAGCAAACTCATTGTTTGGAGAGCATGAAACAGCAGCACTTCTTTTAAAACAACTTCCTCTCAAGCCAACTTGAAGCAAAGTGGTGCAGAAACCCTAGGAGGGGGCGAAGGTGGTTTCTGCCACACCACATCAGTGCTGACTTGTTGGGGGAAATTAATTTTTTTAATTCTCTTCTATTGCAGTAAATTCTGCAATGTGCAACCTCTTGCCTTAGCAAAATGTGATTTAATCCAATGAAATTAGGCTGGTTTAGATCTCACCATCTCTTCAAACAAGGGAAGAAGAGCATTTTCCAAGTTTTATTGTCATGCTGCTGCTACTCTTTCAGTCATAATACCAAAAGGCTGAGATTTTTCATGTTGACCTCTTCCCAATAAAAGAAAAGGCAAAGAAAAACATTTTCTTGAAAGTTTTCAGTTTCATTATATCCAAACTACTATTGAGGATGTATTCATAAGGGCATGTAGTGACAGGACAAGGTGGAGTGGCCTTCAGCTGAAGGAGGGCAGGTTTAGTTTAGGTATTAGGAAGAAATTGTTCCCTGTGAGGGTGGGGAGGCCCTGGCACAGGCAGTGTCCAAGGCCAGGCTGGACAGGGCTTGGAGCAACCTGGGCTAGTGGAAGGTGTCCTCATGGCAGGGGGTAGAACTGGATGATTTTTCAAGTCCCTTCCAACACAAACCAGCCTGGGATCCCATGTTTGTGATCTGCATGTGCATCATGAGCTTTTCCAGGGAAAGGCCTGGCCAAGGCTGTGCTATTTCTATCCCAGCAATGCTCCTGCTGCAGCAGCCTCCCAGTCAAAAGCTGGAAGCTCCATGTGTGGGAGGACTGTGCATATTTAAGAGACTGAGATTTTACAAAGTGCTGCTGCACACACAGACTTGAAGGCAGACCCTTGGATTTGTACTGTTTTGATGAGTTCATGCACTCTGCACTAACAAATTTCTCTTCTGTCTGGAAGGCGGTTCAAGGCTCAGTGTAATTTTGTACAATCACAACTTCTCATAAATGACTCCATTTCCATGCAAAGTATTTTTTCCAGGCAAAATCCCACCACCCTCAGACAAGAGGAGCGTGAAATGCACCTCTTCTCGGAAGAGTGAGGCTGCTCCTCAACATGTCAGACAGCCCAAAATTCAGTTTGAAACTATAGATAAGTGAGAGTTTACCTGAGTCACCAAGTGGGTGAATCAGCTACTAAGGCACACTCTCACCTTACCTGATATTGTGCCTGTCCCTGAAAACAGCCATCCAGCAAGTGTCCTCACACTCCCACTATCGATGCAGGGCGACCCCAGTGCAGGGAATAATGTGCTCTGACTCCATGATTCAGAAGGCTGAAAAAATGCTTTATTGAGCTAGGTTATATTACACTAATACTTTACTATATTAAAGAACTACTATACTAAAGAGATACTGAAGACATACTAAAGAAAAACCCATGACTGTCTTCAGTCATGACACAGCTTTGATCCAATTGGTCAATCAGCCCAAACAACCATCAGCAGAATGCAATTAACAAATCACTCTCGGTAACCCATTCCACATGTGCCAAACAGGAGCGGCAAGTAGAGATAAGAACTATTTTCTCTTCTTCCCTGAGCTTCTCACTGCCTTCCCAGGAAAAATCCTGGGAGAGAGAATTATGTCTCTTTCTGTTCAGAAAATGTGAATACCACGTCCCCCAGAGCCAGCAAAGCGTGTGGCTGCCTGTACAAGTTCAATATGCATAAGAGTGTCAACACAATGGTCAGGTTTGCAGCTGAGTTAAGCCAATGCCTTGCGTGAACCATGACTGAAGTTTCTCCTTTAAAGACCTATGCTAAAAAATGAGTGGCAAATCAGACACAGTATTCCAGACACAGCACACAAACCAAACCAAACAGTGTGTCAGTGTGCTGGAAAGGTGGTGGAAGCACAGAGGCCACCAATAAAGTCTTGTGACAGCCCAAGTCTCTAGTAACACTAAGTTTGCTTCCTTGAACACTATTTCTGTTTTAGCCAGTGAAGCATAATCTCTGCTTGCACTTCCAACATGCAAAGGGAATAAAAGCAATTGTCTGATCCATGTTTAGGGGCTGTAGAAAAGCTGCTGCTGACAGAAATTATCCAGCTGGTACACAGAACTACCACGGACAGAGGAGATTCCTGCCCAGATCACCGCAACAGCCAAGCCCTGTAGTCCCCTTGCTTTTCCTGGTACTCAGTGTGATTTCCTCCTGGCACAACAAGGTAACTACACACCTCCTCACTGGTAACACGGCTGGAATTTATGGGTGTATCTTCTCAACTAGTGGCTTGTGACAAAGCTTTAAAAATCTTCTAAAATCTAACAAAACCACAAAAAGTGTGTCTATAAAGCACAGACATCATGTTCTCCAGCCCCTTGTGACTCTCTCTCAGATTCTACAGGGAATTTTTACAACACATTGATGCACAGTCCTCTCCCACTGCTGTTCAACTCCAGCACAGGAACGACTGAGAGCTGCTGAATTGGCAAGTCCCAGAGCTTTTGTTGTCACTCCTGACCTTTGGGGTTTGAACTGTGTGGTTTTACTACACAGGATCTCAACAGACTTTCTTTTCCTGATCTCCTGATGAAGAAAATATTACATGAAGCATCAGATAGTCCTCTTCTGCCACACTTTTTACATTACTGGGAATATAGGCTTGTGCTTTGCATGGTTGCTTTGAAAACAAAAAGTAAAAGCAGATTTATTAATAGAGAATGAGTTACACATCACCAAAAGGCAAACTCTTTGTTTTCAGGAGGGTTGAATTTTT